CTATGCCCAGTATCAACACCACGTGTATATTTCAGCTCACATGTATATTTCAACATAGAGTGTACACACCCATACTCAGGAATACTGGAACATATGCATACATGCCATCATTCCCAGACTTTTTCTTTCACTCACACACACTCACAATGTAGACACCAACACAAAGGTCAAGTCCCACTCTTTCACATAATCACTCACACATTCCTCTTCATGGCGTGTCTCAGTACCTTGTACAGATATGTAAATTTGTGCTTATCTACAAGCCTGTGAATTCCATAAAGAAGGTGACCTTGTGTGTTCTTTACATTCCTTTCAACCTACCACACACAACCCAGACAGCATTGTCCACGTGCAGCTTTTAAACAGGCTCTGGTGTTTACTGTGAATGCACAGGGGATGATGTGAAAAGCCAAAGGGATCTCTTGCCACCTGCCCATGTTGGTGAGATGAGCTGGCTTTAAAAGAGCAACTTTGGGAAGAAATCATACAGCACACAGACATGAGGTTTTCAGGTCAAGGGTAGGACGGTTCTGCGACAGGTCAGCTTCCATGCTGGACAGTGCTGGAAAGACAGCATGCACCGGATTCTATTTTATAAGGGGGACACGCAAAAGAGCTTTGTTGGAATGTTTTTAACCATATAAGGCAGAGGATAGGGTCTCAAAAGAAGGTTTCCCAAACCCATTGGATAACGCCCAAGTCCAGGGTTACAACAAACTTCTTTGCCAAGTGAAGGTGGAGGCCACTTGCTTCACATAGTGCATGTGACGCGATGCCAGACCAAACATCCCTTTACTCAAGGTTGAGATAGGAAGCTAGCCCATGGGCAGGCAGCCTCTCATGGTGGTCAAATTTCAGGCATCCTCAGCTCCTCCATATCCTGCATGCATGACCTTGATCTATGACCCATAACTCCATATGACCTGAACTTTGCTCCTGGTGCTTTTGCCCACTCATGCCCCAGGTCCCATCCTCTGTAAGGCTCCCTACCTTTCCTGTGCAGGTCTTTTCTCCCTCCCCTTGTCTATCATGTCCCCTAGCTCCACTTTCTTTATTTACACCTGTATGTGCCTTAGTTCATTGCCCACCAAGATCGAACTCCCCCTCTCCTGCTACTTCCCCACAGCACACTTCATCACATTCCAATGAACCATAATCTTCTTTTGCCTTTGAACCATGCATTGTCATTTTACCCTCTGTTAATGGGACACCTTTTCATCCTCCTCCCCTCCAGAGCCCAATATCCTTAACTTGCTCACACACATGCTGTCTTTGTAACTTAAGCCCAGCACTGACTTAAGCCCCTGAGCAACATGTGATATCTTTCTGCCTTCTTACTTTCCACCTTCTGCTCTTCCCCAGCATTTTGTGAACCCGCCCTCCAGGGTCTCTGCTCCACTGTCTTAACCCTGTCATCCATTTCCCTGTGTCCTCTGTCACTCTCATCTGTCACACAGTCAGTCCCTGTCATTCTTCTAAATGCTTCACTATTAAACAATTGCTGCTGGTTATTGCTGACATGTGCCCCAAGAGTTGGAGTTGTGTGCACAGTGATCAAATTCTGAGGCAGGTAAAATGGAGAAAAATTATGAGAAATGAGTTTCAGACAAGTTAGTGAAAATTCTCTCTGGATGGTTCTTTTTTTCTGTTTTTCTCACCATATCTGACCCTTCAGCCTCTGATAGGGTATTGATTTTTGATTATGCTATAGTTGAACAGTGGTTGCTTTCAGGGCAGCCTGGGAGCTGAGGAGATGGAGGTAGGATCAAGGTAAATAAAATGAGGGAGC